TGAGATTCCAGCCTGGGTAGGAGCTGGTGCCTGATGATGGCGTGACCACACTTGCAATGGAGAACTGGGTGGAGGTGCTGACAAATGTTCTTGGGGGAGGGCACAGATTTGGGCTGCCACCTTCCTTCCTTGCCCTCCTTCTTCCTGAGGCGCAGTCTTGGCTGTTGGCTGTTGGCCAGAGGCCCTAGGTGGCCTTGGCAGCTGGCTGGGGCCAGAGCCCACAGAAGATTGAGGTGAGAGGTGTAGGCTTGGAGCTGGGGCAGCAGGGCCTCCACATTCTCTCAAGGGACCCTGCCACCTTTGGCTTGAGTCACAGAGCATCACAGAGCATCACAGAGGGTGGGACGCTTTGCTGCTTTGCTGGCCCCTTCTGGGTGATGACTGATGCTGGGGCCCTCGCTGCACTAGGGTTAGTGTCTGGGTCCCGGGCTGGGGATCTGGCTTCCCAGTTGGCCCTCTGGTGACAGATGATGGAGATACCTGTGTCTCTGGAGCCACCAGCAGCCTCTCCCCATGTTCAGGCCCTGCTGGGTAGGCTCCCTGGGAGAGGGTGCCCCATCTCCCCACATCTCCAGTATCATTGGTTGTGCTGGGCAAAGACTGGGCTTGTGAAGCCACACCCTGAGGTGCGTGGTTGAGGAGGCTCTGGGCAGTGGGGCCTTAGAACTGGGGAGTGGCCAGCTGCCAAGCCCTTTACAACGGTTTGCCTATCACTATGAAGAAAGATGCCCTAGTATCTGCAAAGCCTCGAAGCCCACCCCTGGTACTACCTCAGCCCACATGGAGGGGTCCTAAGGACACAGCTGGGCTGGCCAGGCACCCCAGAGGTGGTGGGCCACTGCCCTGGCCCCACGTGCCTTGCCTGTGGGAACCCCATGAGTATGTATCCTCCGAACTCCCTTGGGGCTCCTAGCCCAGTTAGGACATGCTTGGTGGGCTGAGGAAGGCTGGTGCATCTCCATCTCACCCAGTACACCTAGCAGGACTGAGGGGTGGGTGGCCTAGTGAATGGGGCAATTGCTTGTCCCCCTAGATCCCTCCAGACATCCTCATCTGAGACTCTGGTGGAGAACCCAGGCCTTAGAGCTCAGAGACCCCTTCGTCTTACATGGACTCCTCCTACCCTTGGTTGCCTAATTAGTGAGCTCCCTGTTGTTCAAATTCCTTGCTCGGCAAAATGTAAATGAAACATTTTTTTCCTGGGTGTCAGTATGAAAAATGACAGTTGCTCAGATATCACAGAGGACATCTGCTCTGGTCCTTAAGTGCGAGTGCCTGCTTATGGTTGATGTCTCAAAACTTGAGGGAAAATGTTCCCATGTACCTGGGTAACCCCTGGGTAGGATGTAGGGTGCCCATAGCAGCAGGTGTCACCCTGGAGCTGCATGCCTTGGAGGGCTTGAGCCATTGCACCACGGGCTTCCTAGGCAGTACCTAGGAAGGCTGCTCTGGGGGGATGTTCTGGGCGGGGGCGAGGTGCTATCCCCAGGCCAGGGCAGTCCCAGATCTTGCTCTGGGTGGTACTGACCCCTCATTGGGGAGGGACACCAGCACAATTTTCTCACCTGGGGACTGGCCATTGTGGCCAGTTACCAGTTACCACCTGAGTAACCCTGAGTAGCCCTGGGTACTAGAGGAGAGCTCCCCCCCCCACCCCCCGCGGGCAGAGTAGCTGGTGCCTGCTGGAGACCAGCTGGCTGGGTGCCACCGTCTCCAGGGAGGCATGCAGACTGGCCCAGACCTCCCCCAGCCTCCTGGTAACTAATTATGCTCCTTAGGCCCCAGGTCCTGGCCTTTCAGACACAGCAGGGATGGGGGTGGCCCTTCATGGGGGCAGGTGCTCAGGTATGGGCAGCCTGACCTTTCAAGGCACATGCATCTGTTGCTGGCCTTAAGGAGGACATCCCAACCCCTGCATACCCCAGGGGACTCAAGCTTCCTGGGCATGTCTGTCCTGGCACAGCCAGCTGCCACTGGGACAGAGCCTGTGGGGCAGGGGAGCTGGTGGCCACAGCCCCTTACCGCTGGCCCCCTGCAGGGGAGTACATCAAAACCTGGCGGCCCCGCTACTTCCTCCTCAAGAATGATGGCACCTTCACTGGCTACAAGGAGCGGCCACAGGATATGGATCAGCGTGAGTCTCCTCTGAACAACTTCTCTGTGGCACGTGAGTACCCTGGTTGGCAGCCTGCCAGGCAGGGGAAACAGGCTGGGCCCTGCTGAGGACAGCTCTGGCTGAGTGGGGTCTCCAGGCCAGTCCTAAGGCTGGCAGACCTAGCTGAGTGCTGACAGGCCAGCCTTGGAGTAGATGGCTGACCTAGGGCCTTCTCCTGGGACCTCACCCTGGGAAGCCACCTGGGTGGGCAGGGCAGGAAGACTGCATGGGCCCACTCCCCTCTGCCACCCAGGGGACATATGCTTCTTCCCATGAATTTCTTAGGCTACCAGACCCTGTGGTGAAACATCTGCTTCCCCCTTGGCTGGGTTGCGGATTGGAGTCAGCCCCCCTCAGGTAGAAGAGTGTGGTCAGGCTAGCCGAGGATGTGGGCCAGGGCATTCTGCAATGCCCGGTGAGATGTGGCATTTCCCCTGTATACTGCTATAGCTTTATTCCCTACCCATGGGGAAGACTGTGACTCTACCCACGTGTGATGGGGACCTAGGCATGGTGACAGGCTGAGGAGGTGGGATGATGGGAGCCTTCCTGCCTGGTCCCCATCCCCCGGGCCAGGACACAGGCCTGTATGTGACTGAGTGGGATACCCTCCAGTGACAGGGCCTGCTAACCACAGGGGTCTGCAAGGGGCCATGGAGCATGATGTCCACCAAGGGTTGGTCCTATGTACGACCTGGTACTATGGTCCCTCCCGGTGGCCTTGCCCCACATTGTGCAGCCTGGGATCCTGGGGTCCTCTGGCTCCCCCACCTTGCTGACTTTCCAGGTTCTGCTGTAGGACTTGCTGGAAGGTCAGCATGGGCCTTTACCCGGCTCGGTGGGGAGGGACTGGAGCGCTGTAGCATTTGTCAGGTGCCTGACTGCTTGGGCACCCATACCCAGTGAGCCTGGCAGCCAGCAGACCCTGCCGAGGTTGTCTAGTATGAGCTGTAGGGCCCGGCTGAGGGGCTTCATGGGGGGCTTTCTCAGGATCTTTGGGCTCTCTGCCTCAGGTCCATCAGCAGCAGAGGAGCCTAACAGAATGGAGGTCCCTAGGGTGAAGGGGAGACCCAAGGGGCACACACATGGTCTCCTGGCAGCTTCATGACCGAGTGGGAAACCTACTGCCACTCATAGCAGCAGGCTCTCCCTGGTGCCTCTGTGGTTGAGGCTGGGGGCTTTGGCGCTCATGAAGAGGCTGGGCACCACTGTGTGGCCACAGCACGTTGAGGCAGGGCCTTGCTGGGAGTGGGGAAGGCAGCACAGGAAGGATGGAGAATGGCTTCTTGGGAGAGGCACAGGGGTGGGCACCCGCCACAGGGGCAGGACCTTCAAAGGAGGCCTTAGGCAGGCAGCCTGGAGCACCTGGCAGGAGCAGAGCTGGTGTGGAGGGGGCTATTCTCCAGGGCAAGGTTCTGGAGGAGTGGGGCTGAGACCCCCAGCCCTGGAGAGGGTGTTGCATCTGCCAGCCTCCGATAGGCTGCTCCAGAGTAGGGGAGGCTTCTGTGGCCCTGCTCATGTTGTCACAGGCTGTCCTTCCCACAAAGCTGGCCCTGAGCCCCTCCTGGCCCCCAGGCCCAGCAGACCACTCTTGCACTGCCCAACTGGGGCCCCTCACAGTTGCCAGGGCAAAGATGCTGGAATGTAGGAGGCATCTTTGCTGGCCCTCTGGCCTCACAAAGGCTGGGGCAAAATCCAGCTGGGAAGCCTTGAGGCTGCACCATCTGCTCACAGCTCGCCTCAGAGTCCAGTGTGTCTCCACAGCTGCAGATGTGTGTGGGCCTGGGGTGTGTGTCCTCCAGAGGTGTGTGTCCTCTATATATTTATTCTCTGTGTGTACGTGTCCTCCAGGTGTGCGTGTCCCCCAGGTGTGTATGTCCTCCAGGTGTGCATGTCTTCCAGGTGTATGTGTCCTCTACCTATGTCTTCTAGTTGTACGTCCTCCAGGCATGTGTGTCCTCTAGGTGTGAGTGTCCTCCAGGTGTATGTCTTCCAGGTATGTCCTCCAGGTGTGCATGACCTCTAACTGTATGTCTTCCAGGTGTATGTCCTCCAGGTGTGCGTGTCCTCTACCTATATGTCCTCCTGGTGTGCATGTCTTCCAGGTATATGTCCTCCAGGTGTGCGTGTCCTCCATGTGTGTGCGTCTTCTAGCTGTATGTCCTCCAGGTGTATGTCTTCCAGGTGTGCTTGACCTCTAACTGTATGTCTTCCAGGAGTGTGTTTCTTCCAGGAGTATGTCTTCCAGGTGTGTGTGTCCTCTAGCTGTATGTCCTCCAGGTGTGTGTGTCCTCTAGCTGTATGTCCTCCAGGTGTATGTCCTCCAGGTGTGTGTCCTCTAGCTGTATGTCCTCCAGGTGTGCATGTCCTCCAGGTGCTTGTGTGCCCCCGGTGTATGTGTCCTCCACCTGTGCCTTCTCAGGCTCTCTCATTGCTGTCACTCCGTGGGACTGCCATATGCCCATACTTCTGAGGTCTGGTTCATGGTAGGGCTCAGAGATGGAAGGAAGGAAAGACAAAGGATGGGACAGTGGTGTGGGGTTGACCTGACCCAGCCCTGGATGCCGTCTTTGGGTATATCATACCTCTAGACCAGGGTACAGGGCTCTAGCCCCATTTTATGTGGGAAATCACAGCTTGGAGAGTGGGTGAGATGGGCTTCCTGGGGCCTGATGGGTAGAGTCTGTGGAGCTGGCTGGTGTGGCCAGGGCTGTGGGGCGGGCTCTGGGATGGCAGGTGGGCGCGGTAGACAGATGCTCGCTGGTCCTGCCCCCAGAGTGCCAGCTAATGAAGACCGAGCGGCCTAGGCCAAACACCTTCATCATCCGCTGCCTGCAGTGGACCACAGTCATCGAGCGCACCTTCCATGTGGAGACACCTGAGGAACGGTACGTGGGGCCACATGGGGACAGGAGGTGCTCGCACCTTCTGCCTGTGGCCACCCTTGCTCCACAGTGCTCCCTGCTTAGAACTTGTTTTGGAAGATGTCTGTAGGGTCTGGGTGTGGAAACTGAGGCACAAGATGACAACGAGGTGGGGAGGGAGTACAGTCCTGGTACAGGGCTAGCCTCAGTGTCCCCAGTGTCCAGGAGGGTTTTCTGACCCTGAACTAGGGTGGCTAGCTCAGGGCTCTCTCTGGAGCCTCTGTGGAAGAAGAGGCTTGAAGCTGCCTGGGTTGGAGGTGGGGCTTCTGCTGCAGGGCAGGGCCTCTTCTGACCACCCTGCAGGGAGGAGTGGACAACCGCCATCCAGACGGTGGCTGATGGACTGAAGAAGCAGGAGGAAGAAATGATGGATTTCCGGTCGGGCTCACCCAGCGACAACTCTGGTGCCGAGGAGATGGAGGTGGCCCTTGCCAAGCCCCGCCACCGTGTGGTGAGCACCCCCACTCTGTGGCTGCCAGGGCAGTAAGGGCCCCGAGGGGGTCTTGGCCCCAGTCGGGTAGTGGGCCTGCTACCTGTTCCTTTCCTGTATCGGAGGTTACATTGGGGTCCTGAAGGCTCAACTGTGTCTGTTCCCCAGACCCCAGTGCTCCACACTGGGGAAGCAGCCCTGTGTCCTCAGTGGGCCCAGATGCCCTGCTGACCTTAGCAGGTGGCAGGTGACTCTGAGGCCCCCTGACACCTGTGCAGGCCGTTGGTGGGCAGAGGCTGAGCTGATGCCCACTGACCCAGCCCCTGTGCCGCCCCCAGACCATGAATGAGTTCGAGTATCTGAAGCTGCTGGGCAAGGGCACTTTTGGGAAGGTAATCCTGGTGAAGGAGAAGGCCACAGGCCGCTATTATGCTATGAAGATCCTCAAGAAGGAGGTCATTGTGGCCAAGGATGAGGTGGCCCACACTCTCACTGAGAACCGCGTCCTGCAGAACTCCAGGCACCCCTTCCTCACCGTGAGTCTGCCTGGGCCCCTGCCAGACATGGCCAGGGTCAGTGGCCACTCTTGGCTGCCTCTGATGGACAGGGTCTACCTTCCTATGACACAGTGGGTCAGACTTAGCAACCCAGGGGACAGGCCTCATAGAGGGTGACGTGTGGAAGTGCCCAGTGGAGCAGGACCTCAGCCTTCCTTCCACTCTGTGCACAGGTGCCCCCAGCTCCCCAATTCCTACATCCCTCAGGCCTTCCTCTGGGCTGCTCCCTCTGCTGAGATTCAAGCCAGGTGGTCCTATCCTGGGGACTTGGCCTGGGAGGTATTTACAATGGAAGGGATTCAGTCACTTAATTAATTTGGAGTTACTACGTTAGAGTACAAGTTGGCCATCATGGGGGCTTAAAAGCAGAGCTGCCTGTGGTTCCAGATGTGTAGGCAAGGACAGGAGGACGTGTCTCCCCTTGACAGGCCACAGAGTCGGAAGCTCCGATCTGTCACTCCACTTGTACTCAGTGTCCCCTAGCAGGAGCATTGCCAGTTGCCGAGACCCTCAGTGCCCCAGGCCCTCAAGCCAGAGGCACCTTGCTTATCGGTACAATGGGCCTTGGTACCTCCTGTGGCAGCCAGGTGGCAGTGGGGTCAGGGTATGTGTCTGAGGCTTCAGCTCTGCTTCTGTTCTAGGCCCTGAAGTACTCCTTCCAGACCCACGACCGCCTCTGCTTCGTCATGGAGTATGCCAATGGGGGCGAGGTAGGGCCAGGCTGGGAGGGCAGCAAGGGGCAGCTCTCAGGAGGGGCTTGTCCCTTTCACAGCTCTGCTGGTCCAGGGGTGGTGGGGGGCCCATTGTGTGCATCTGCCTGCTGGGGCGGCCTGTCCTTCTGAGTTGGGGTCTCTGAGACCTTCTGGGCCCCTGGGCCTTCTGGAGGCTGGTCCTCCCATGCCCTCTGCCCTCTCACCCTGTGAGCTGTAGGGGGCCCCCAGCAGTGTCTCAGGGCCTGCCCCCTGCAGCTCTTCTTTCACCTGTCTCGTGAGCGCGTGTTCTCCGAGGACCGGGCCCGCTTCTACGGTGCTGAGATTGTGTCAGCCCTGGACTACCTGCACTCGGAGAAGAACGTGGTGTACCGGGACCTCAAGGTGCGCCCTGTGGGCTGGTGGGAGGTAGGGACGTGGCCTGGCAGTTCTGACCACTCCTGCCTTCCTCACACAGCTGGAGAACCTCATGCTGGACAAGGACGGGCACATCAAGATCACAGACTTTGGGCTGTGTAAGGAGGGCATCAAGGACGGTGCCACCATGAAGACCTTCTGTGGTACCCCTGAGTACTTGGCCCCTGAGGTGCGCCTGCCACTGTGTGCATGTTCACCCACCAGTTCCCCATGTTCTGGGCACACTGTGATACCTTATCCCCCTGTGTCCTGGGCATGCTGTGACACCCTATCCCTGTGTGTCCTGGGCACGCTGTGATACCCCATCTCCTGTGTCCTGGCCATGCTGTGAAGCCGCCCCTGCCCCTGCAGGTGCTGGAGGACAATGACTATGGCCGGGCAGTGGACTGGTGGGGGCTGGGCGTGGTCATGTATGAGATGATGTGCGGCCGCCTGCCCTTCTACAACCAGGACCACGAGAAGCTCTTCGAGCTCATCCTCATGGAAGAGATCCGCTTCCCGCGCACGCTCGGCCCTGAGGCCAAGTCACTGCTCTCGGGGCTACTCAAGAAGGACCCCAAGCAGAGGTGAGGCCGCCAGCCTGGCGCCAGCGCGGTGTCCCAGCCAGGGCCGGGCTGGAGCTGGCTGCCCCTCACGCCTGCTCAGGAGGCGCTGGCCTGCGGCGGCTGGGCCTGTGCTGCTCAGAGGCTGCCCTGCGCCCCCACGGCCTGGGCGCCCGGCCTGGTGCCCCGAGTCCTGCGATGGGAGGGGACCCCATCACCATCGAGCGGTGGTGGCGCATCACCATGGCTCCTCTCCTGCCCCAGGCTCGGCGGGGGCTCCGAGGACGCCAAGGAGATCATGCAGCATCGCTTCTTCGCCAGCATCGTGTGGCAGGACGTGTACGAGAAGAAGGTGCGTCAGCGACCCATGTCCCCACGTCCCCCTCAGCTGCAGTGCTCGTGCTGGCCCTGGCCAGGGCGCCTGCTGCGGCCGCGTCATGCCCCAGCAGGTGCCAGCATGGGCACCCTTCCTTGTGCTGCACAGGGAAGCTGCCCCAGCCCTCCCCTCTGGGGTAGCACCTGCTTTTCCTGGGTGGGAGGCCATCTGGGGGAAGTAGCTCTTTCCTACCAGGCCACATATTCAGCCCTGCCCTCTGGGGGAACTCAGGCAGCCCCTCACCCAGGACCCTACTAGTCCATCCAGGCCAGACTCCGAGGGCAGCACTGGAGGACGTCTTCCTTGCAGGGCCTTCACCTGTGCACAGCACTTCATAGTTCCCTCGCGTCCTGGGCTGTGGGGACTTCTGCAGCCTGCTTGTGGCCCAGCCCTTGAGCCATGAATGAAGCACAGCAGGCACACCTCACATACACCTTGTTACAGACGCCATCTTACTCTCCCTTTCTTGATTTACAAGAAAATCAGTTTAAAAAAAAAAGGAAAAATCAGAAAGGTGGTAGCTCACACCTGTAATGCTAGTTGCTTTGGAGTCTGACCAAGAAGTTAAAAGACCAGCCATGGCAAGATCCCATCTTAAAAAAATTCGCTCCTTGGCCCCCTCGCACATGCCTATTGCCACAGGGGCTGCTATGAGCACAGCTGAGTGCCTGGGCCTGTTAGCCAGTGGGAGTGTCTGGAGCTCCTGTTGTCCCCTGGCCACACTCCACCCCACCCGGCCCTTTAGGAGCTGTGCCCCGGGAGCTGGCAGCCTGTCCTACCATCAGTGCTGCCTGGAGACAGGCCCCTGGAGGTATGGGTGTAGAGGGTCTGGTGCATCCTGGGTCTGGAGCAAGGCCTGTGACCAGCCCCTCTGTCTGCCCCTCTGCAGCTCAGCCCACCCTTCAAGCCCCAGGTCACATCAGAGACCGACACCAGGTATTTTGATGAGGAATTCACGGCCCAGATGATCACCATCACACCACCTGACCAAGGTGAGGGCCGCTCTGCCCACTGCCCTCTCCTCCCAGGTTGGAAGGCCGAGTGGTTGCTCTCTATGGGATGCTTGCAGGGTTCAACTTCTTTTTTGCTTCGGATGTTTTAAAATTAAAGTTTTTAAAAAGTTCCTTTAGGAGGGTACTAGTGTTTAGAATAGGAGGCTCACTCCCCCCACCCCCAGCACTGAGGGATAGGGTCCCTGTGTCCCAGTGTGGGCCCTGCCTCAGTTTCCCCAGCAGCACAGCAGTGGGATGGTGGGGATTTGGGACATCTGGCTTCATCCTGGAGCGGGCACCTGGCCTGAGCAGCCTCCTCCTGCAGACGACAGCATGGATTGTGCAGACAGCGAGCGGCGGCCACACTTTCCCCAGTTCTCCTACTCAGCCAGTGGCACAGCCTGAGGAGGCCACCGGGCAGCCAGGGCTCTGCTCCAGAAGAAGGCTCCACGGTGAGAGAAGACCCAGACGGATGTGTATTCAAAGGCTTTTTATTTCTTGGGTGCATTTGAGAGGAGCCATGACATTCCTCCTGAGCACGGATGGAAAGACGTTTCGTGCTGTGGGCAGCATACTCGGGGAAGAAAATTGTCCTGCGGATTTTCTTAATTTATTTCATCCAATTTGTGCTCCAGATGTGGCCTTGGGCCTCAGAACAATTAGATTCTCGTAGGAAAATGTTAGGATTTATGCAGCGACGTGCAAAGGGGCTGGGGGTCTGGTGGGTCCTGCTGCCGGCCCCGCCCCATTAGCCTGTCTCACCAGCTGCCCCTGCCTCATAGTGGCATGCTGGCTAGCACTCTTGGGGGGCACATGGCTGCCCCCAGCACTAAGGCCGTGCCTGCAAGGTTGGCCCCCCTGAGCCCTGGGGTTGGGGCTGGGCCAGGGTTCACCCACAGGAAAGAGGAACAAGGTTTAACTCGTTGCTGTGTATTATGTTGTTTAAATGCATTGTGGGGGGTTAATCTTAGTAAAGAGAAAGCCCCTCCCCACCCCCCACCCCCTTTTCCCTCCTGTGTCATGGTCTCGGTGGCTGTCCCATCGAGCCCCTTTTCAAATGACTTCTCCACAGTAGCACTTGACCTTTTAGACGCTTACCTTTTTGGCTGTATGTCCCTGGCCCATCCAGCTCCCTCTTGCAGGGAGGCTGTTCTTGGGCCTCACACCCTCCCGGCCAGATGCTGCTGCAGCTGCTGCACCATGGCATTTTTTTACAATTCAACTTTTAGTATTTTTACTATTATAATATGAAACTTTCCCTCCAAATTCAATAAAAATTGCTTTTCAAGTTTGTGGCTTACTTTGCTGAGTGAAGGAGCCTGTGGCTCCGGGAGGGATCCCTGTTCTTGGTGTTCCCCTGCTCTGATGGGCACCTGTGCCAAGGGCAGGTTTAGGGCCTGGCTTGGGTAGGGGTCTGCAGACCTGAGCCCAGTGGCAGCCTCCAAGGGAAGACATCCCTCCCCAGCTCTAGAGGACTTGCCTGAGGGGGAGATGGGCTGCCCAGATGTTGACTCGGGGGGGGGGGGGTCCAACCATCTTCCTGGCCCCACCTGTCTTCATCCCAGCCGTGGAGGTGACTGTGCAGGCGGCAGGGCCACCTACCTCCACCCGAGCTGCTATCTCCTGGGCTAAGCCATGAACGAAAGCTGGAGTACCATGAAGGGTGAGGCTTGAAGGGCCACAGCTGGGGCTAAGGTCCTGGCCTGGGCCACAACCAGGCCGCTAAGCCTTTAGAGGCCACAGTGAAGAAGAGTTTAGGGCTTGAGGTCACAGGGCAAGTCTGGGACCCAGCCAGAGAAGGGGCTGCCTGGGGTGGGGGTCAGGGTGGGTGGGCCCAGGGCAGCTCCAGAGTGCTGGGAAGCAGAGGCTGACCTCCAACAGCCTGCAGGATGTGCTGCTGGCACCACCTGGTGGACGCTTTGCAGACACATGGCCAGCAACCACCAGGGGCCTGCAGCCACAGGGGCCAGTGAGGCAGAGTGGGTGGGGGCCCAGGGTCCTGGGGCCTTGGCCTCCTCATCTCAAGTAGACTCAAATCCCATGACTTCGGACATTGATAAGGCCTGGCACATGGCCCAGATGGCAGTTGTCTCCTCTCCAAGGCAATGGTGGTGGTGGTGGTGGCGGCTTCCTTTGTTTCCACACACAACATTACACACTAAATGATGTTTTGGAGGTAAGAGGCATCCAGATTTCAGATCTATAAAGAACATGCATTGTAGGAAACAGTAACAGTACCCTTCCAAAGTCCTCAAACTTTGAACAGAGTTACTGATGGAGTACACAAACAGGCTTTGGGAGCCAGGGCTGGGTGAGGAGGCAGTGTCTTCCAGATAGCCAGGCCCAGGGTGGGAGCTGCTCCTTCCTGCAGGACCCTCTTAAACAATGGCTAAAAGCTTTAGGGACATTTCTACAGTCCAGAGCTTTAGGACCTAAGGGAACAAATGTAAGAATGAAGACAACTCAGAGTGCCCTGAAGCAAGGTGCTCACAGAGGGAAGCACAGGTGCCCTTGCAAGGGGCGGTCCCACCACAGCCAGTAGGGCCAGGGAAGTTGAAATACAACTCTGCCAATCAAGAGGAATTTCTCCTTCCCATGTCTGAGGTACCCATATCTTGCTTTTTCTGGTACAGGCCAGCCTGGAAGGGACAGGAAAATAGATATATAGAAGTGCCTTTAGCAGCTGGTCACCCCCTGCTTTAGCAGATGTGGGTACCTAAAGGCTCTCAGGTCCCTGGGTCTTGGGGGCCCTCAGTGTTGCAGATGAGGCTTGGGGAACCACAGTGGGAGTGCCACTGGGTGTGTCATGATGATAAGGGCTGGGATGCCCTTAGATGGGAGATGTCACTCCCAGACAATGTTTGCTCAAAGGCTGACTTTACTGTTCAACATATTTATTTCAGCCTTTTGCTTCTAACTTGTCTTTTTTTTGGCGGTTTTAGGCCAGGCCTGGGTTTGAACCCGCCGCCTCCTGCATGTGGGGCCGGCTCCCTATTCCTTTGAGCCACAGGCGCCGCCCTCTAACTTGTGTCTTAAAGTGAATTCCTTATAGATAGTATATAGTTGGGTCTTGTTAGATTTTTAAAAATCTAACAATCTTTGCCCTTTGAGGTGTTTAGATCATTTACATTTAATGTGACTATTGAAATGGTCAAGCCTAAATAGAACATCTTGCCATTTGTTTT